AAATTAGGGTGGACAATAAATGGACCCCTTGGAAGATATGCTGTACAACAAAGAGTGACCTCTAACTTTATTAGGTGTGATAATGACTTATGTCAACAATGTAAAAATTTCTGTTATAAAGAATTCAATGAATCCATAATAGATATTAAGAAGGAGATGTCACAGGAAGATAAGAAAACCTTAAATACTATGGAACAGACAGTGAAGAAACAAAATAACCATAACGAAATTGCCTTACCCTGGAGAGATTTCCCCCCATACTTACCTAACAACAAGCCATTAGCAGACCATCGATTTTGTTTATTAAAGAGAAGATTATTAACTGATCCAAACTTATTTCAGAAATATGGGGAGTTTATTGATGATCTGCTTCGGAATGGTTATGCCGAGAAAGTGGATGAAGATAAGATGCCAAGATCAGCTGTTCCAAATTAGTATTTACCACACCATCCTGTATTTAACAAACAGAAAATCAACAAAACTAGAATTGTATTCGACTGTTCGAGCAAATACCATGATACCTCACTCAACAACCGTCTACTTCAAGGTCCCAATCTTACCAACACCCTGTTTGGAGTATTGTCAAGATTTCGTCAAGATCACATTGCCCTGGTAGCAGACATCCAAGCCATGTTTCACTAGGTTAAAGTACCCGAAGATCAACGCAACGCATTGAGATTTCTATGGTGGCCAAACAACGATTTAATATCTGAACCTGACTTCTACCGAATGACTGTCCATTTATTTGGCGCCATTTCTTCGCCAAGTTGCTGTAACTTTGCATTGCTTCAATCGCTAATGATGATAACCCAAGTCAAGATATTCAAGAATGTATAAGACGTAATTTCTATGTAGACGAATTTTTCGTTCAACCAAGACCATAGAAGAAGCCAAGGTGATAAACAAAGATTTAAGACAAGCATTAGCTAATGGAGGATCACGTCTTTGAAGATGACGTCAATTCTAATAACCAAGTAGAGCGCACTCTAGAAATACGCTGGAATGTCAATACAGATTCCTTTGGTTTCAATATATCCATTAAGCTAAAACTACCAACAAGAAGAGGAATACTGTTCATAATTAGCTCAGTGTTCGACCCATTAGGATTCGTAGCACCCTGTATATTACCAGCGAAAGGCATTTTACAAGATCTGTGTAGACTGAACTATGACTGGAATACACCGATTCCCGATGAATTTCAACTAAGATGGAACAAATGGTTAGTTGATCTGCCCATGTTATCCAAGTTTAAGATTAAAAGATGTTTCGCCCCCTGCTGATTACGGTGAAGTCAGTTCCTATCAACTCCTTCACATGTCTGATGCCTCAGAAAACGGATATAGCTCTGTTACTTATCTAAGAATGATCAACGACTCAAAGAAGATCCATGTTTGACTCTATTAAAGAAGGTAACCATCCCCCGATTAGAACTCACAGCTGCTGCAGTATCCATTAAGTTGGACAAGATGATGAGACAAGAACTTGATGTACCAATAGAGAAGTCTGTTTTCTGGACCTATAGTACGGCTGTGATAAAGTACGTTAACAACGAAACCAAGAGATTTCACACGTTTGTGGCGAATAGGATCGCTGCTATCAGGGACGGCTCAGATCCTACGGATTGGTACTATGTTGACTCAAGTAAAATCCAGCTGATGATGGATCACGTGGCTTGACGACCAATGAATTCATAAAGGACCAACGATAGATACCGGGGCCGGGTTTCCTACACTTACCCGAAGATCAATGGCCTGAACAACCCGATTTAAAAAATGGTCTGGATGAAAGGACCCTGAAGTAAAGTTATAGAGAGAAGTCAGGATGCTGCCAATGAAATGTTTAATAGATTCTCATCATGGGTTAAATTAAGAAGATGTATTGCCTATATTCTACGTTACAAGAAGAATCTATTAAGATATACTAACAGAAATAACCCAAGACCCGGTAACAATAAGACCAAGACTTGTGTTCAACCACTGTTATTAGATGAAATTCGAGAAGCTGAGAGAGAAATCCTAAGTATAGTACAGCAATCAAGTTTTAAAGAAGAGTTAGAATGTTTACGTTATGAAGAAAGATTAAAGAAGTCTAGTAGTCTTGTTAAATTAGATCCAGTCCTATTAGATGATATGTTAATAAGAGTTGGTGGACGATTGAGAAATTAGACACTAGCATTGGACATCAAACATCCAATTATCCTGCCGAAAAATCACCATGTGAGTGACCTCATCATCCGTCATTACCATCAACTGTCCGGTCACTCTGGTAGATTATATGTCCTGTCGAAGATTAGAGAAAGCTACTGGATCGTTAAAGCCAGTTCAGCTGTACCAAGTATACCATCAAAATGTTTCGACTGCAGACGAAGACAAGCCCAACCTATGCAACAGAAATTAGCTGATTTACCACAAAACAGAATAACTGCAAGTAAGCCACGGTTCAGCTTTGTCGGTATTGACTATTTTGGCCCATTTATTATGGTAAAGGGAGGAAAAAGTCAACTAAAGCGGTATGGTTGCATTTTTACGTGTCTAACAGTAAGAGCTATCCATATTGAAATTACTTACAGCATGGATACCGATTCATTTATCAACGCCCTAAGGCGCTTTATAGCTACAAGAGGACCCCCAGAAAAAAATCAGGACTGACAATGGATCAAACTTTGTTGGTGGATCTAAAGAGCTGAAATCAGCTATTAACGAGTGGAACCAAACTAAGATACACAATATTTTACTACAACACGAGGTTACCTGGATATTCAACACCCCATTAGCATCGCATCATGGAGGCGTGTGGGAAAGATGTATAAGGCCCATAAGAAAGGTTTTGTCTGCACTAATGTCACAACAAACTTTAGATGACGAAGGACTCTCTACGTTAATGTGTGAAGTGGAAAGTATTGTCAATGGAAGACCAATTGCGCCAACGTCCGAAGACATTACTGATTTAGAAGCACTTTCACCGAATCATATCCTACTCTTAAGATCAGGCTTACCACCTGGTATATTTGTCCAGAAAGATCTGTATGTACGTAAAAGATGACGACAGGTACAATATATGGCTGACGTTTTCTGGAAGGGATGGAACTGAATATTTGACACTACTTCAAAAGAGCCAGAAATGTCTGAATCCAGATGATAACATTAAAGCCGGAGATATTATTTTGTTAGTCGACGAATCAGCCCCAAGATCACACTGGCCTTTGGCGAGAATAATAGGAGTGATGCCTGGTAAAGATGGTTTAATTCGATCAGTAAAAGTCAAGACCAAATCTTCTACATTTACAAGACCAATTACTAAATGTGTGTTGTTGGAATCAGTGAAGTAAAGACATTGATCTAATTTGAAGTGAATTAAGCATAGACACTAATAGACTATCATGACTGTCATAATGATGACAGTGTTTTCTTAAGTGACGATAAATTAATATTTTAATAATCATTTCAAGTTTAAATTTAATCAAAGTTTATTGAATTACTTATTTATATGTTTAATATGTTGTTACTAGATTTTAAATGTTCCTCATAATGTTCCACATTTAAAAGGGGCCGGGTATGTAGATTCCGAAATCTATTTACTATTAATGGGAGGTAACTACTGTTTTGTAGAAGTCACAGACGTCAAGTAGTTGTTTTATGACAAGCTCCAAGCTCGTTGGCTTTCTCAGGGTCCTCCGGTTTCCTTCCACTGCTATAGACCCCTACACGCAAGCGAATTATTGAAATAAAATTGAACCATATATTAGTCCCGAAATGACCTAGTTTGTGTCGAGTGGACGTTAAACCCTTGTTAGGTCCCAAAGAATAGAGATTTAGCTCCTTTAACGTCTAAAAACAATCGTTAACAAATGCATTTTGGTCTAATGTTTCAAGTCTGTTACTAACATCATCTCTATGAAATGAGAGATGCGTCTGAAATCTTCTTTCATTTATCACGTTTATAGTACCGCCTTTTGGGTGGTTTTCCATTCAATAGGAATCAATCGAATGCCATATATCTAATAATTACAGAAGTGAATATAACTTCTCTGATCAACGTCATTAACACTTCAAATTTCAAAATTTGGACACAAGTTCAAATTTTATGAATAAATTATACTTACCTGACATATGAACATTAGGATTTCTATCTCGTTAATAATTATCTCGCCCGGAAGTAAAAATCATGCGCAAACCGGTCATCCTACTACATCCGGTTGGGCGCCATGATTCCACAGTTTTCTCACGGCGCTAGAATGTTATGTTTTGTGATGGTACTAGATTTGACTTTTCTAAATTTATTAAGAAACCTAGTCGAACAAGAAGATTGGTAATTTTTTCTTGATCTTCCAGGAGTTTTGATCTGCTCTGATTGACTGACAGCCAATCGTCCAAGTATACTGACATTCTTATGCTTTGTTTTCTCAAAAACTCTGCTACCACTGACACAATTTTTGTGAAAACTCGTGGTGAGCTTGTTGGGCCAAAGCATAGAACTTTGAACTGATAAACTGTTTCCCCCAAAGCAAACCTCAGAAACTTTCTGTGGCTTTGCAAAATTGGTATGTGTAGATACGCGTCCTGTAAATCCAGGGAAAAAGCCCAATCTCCTTGTTTCACAAGATTTAAAACTTTTGACATTGTATCCATTTTGAAGTGTTGTTTTCGGAGATATCGGTTTAGCGGCTTTAAATTTATGACTGGTCTCATTTTCCCATTTTTCTTTTTCACCAGAAAAAGCGTACTGAAAAAAACGTTTTGTATTTGATTCTGGGGTACAATTTCTATTGCATCCTTTTCTAAAAGCACTTTTATTTCGGTTTCTAATAACTCTGTGTGTTTGACACTGACATGTGTCTTTTTTATCCCTGAAAAGGGTGGTATTTTCACAAATTCTAGTCTGTACCCGTTCTTTATTATTGATAAAACCCATTTGTCCATGGTAATTTTCTTCCATTATGGTAAAAAATGAGACAGGCGGCCGCCTACCGGTAACTCCGGAAACACAACCAAATTTCTTACCTTGTCATCTTTTATTAAATGCCTTTCCTCCTCTAGCAGGAAATGGCGACTTCTTATAGAAACCTTCTGTTTTTGACTGCCTTTCACTCTCTGGCGTCTGTGTCTTGTCAAAATTTTTCTTGAATCCTTTATTATTTGCAATTCTAGAGATCCGAAAATCATCCTTATTTGAGGATCCTTTATCTTTTTCCAAACAGCTCCTTTTGGCATTTGTGTTTGTACTAAAATTTGATTTCCGCTTTTTATCAAACTTTTGGAAATCAGGTAATAAATCTTCTAAAGTCTTATTTTTTTCTTTCCTTGACTTTAGTGTAGTTTCTAACTTATCACCCAAGACCCCTTCCGCTGATAGCGGTAAATCAGAAATGTCTCTGGAATCTTCTAACTGAAAAAGAGAGGTATCTGTCATAGATAACTGTCTTCTCAAAATGTGGTGAAAAGCTCCCGCTCGACCAATTTGGTCCAGACTTTTTGTGGACATGGCAAAAATGTCCCTAATATGCTTCTTAGCATTGTCAATATTTGGTTTATCGTCATTAAAAAGTTCTATCAAGCTACCTAGACTCTGTTGCATGTACATATTAATGATGATTCCCATGTAAGACGCTTGTTGTCCTCTATAGGCAATTTTCTCCAACATTTTATAAGGTTGAGAAAATAAACTTTTTCCTGTTTTAGAAAAAGATGCTTTATTGCCATGTTTTTTAATCAAACATATTCCTATTAAATCGTCTAGTGACGGAACTTGAAGAAACTTTTCTGTATCTTCATCCACAGGAAACATTTCTTTTGTTTCCTCAGCAAAAGCTGTGATAGAGTTTGGTTTGTCACAACGCCAATGACCTAACAAAACCTCTTTCTGAGAACTGTCAATTTCAATCCCTTTCTTTTTTTCAGTTTTCTTAGCAATGGCATCTTCGCCAAAAATATCAAATAGACATTTCCTTGTCTTGTCTTGCAACTTGTCTTCATCAGACTTTGTGTCTTCTAAATCTGACCCAGAGCCCAACACTTCGTCCTGGCCTGGCGCTAAAGATATCAAATCCTCGTCATTTTCCTCTTCTGAAGAATGACTTGGATTACCGATATCGACATGTCTTTGTGACTGTCTAATTACATCAGAGTTATTGTCACCATTTGCAGTACTACCCTGATTTCTGATAAGCTCAAAAAGGCTATCAAATTTATCATCTAAAGAAGCGAACTTTGTGTTCCACTTCTCATCCAACAAGTCGTATCTAGACTTTCCTTTTCTACTACTAGAATGTTTACCTTTTTCATCAGACCTACCCCGACTTTCTCGTGCCGATTCGTCTAAAAAATCTTCTCCCTGTGATATAACATCACCTTCTGTACTCCGCGTACTGCAGCCTGCTTCTTCCATAATAAACAAAAATTACACTAGAAGCCCCGAGCGTAAAAAAAACCACGACTTCTTTCTAGTCGCCGAGAAAGAAAACTGTGGAATCATGGCGCCCAACCGGATGTAGTAGGATGACCGGTTTGCGCATGATTTTTACTTCCGGGCGAGATAATTATTAACGAGATAGAAATCCTAATGTTCATATGTCAGGTAAGTTTCGTAATTTATGAAATAAAATTGACATGAACTGCTTTACTAACCTAAACTCCCACCTTACATATTTACGAGAATAATTATGTCATTCTATTGGGATTTGTCTGGCTGGGATGTTTCCTATAACTGGACGCTGACCACAAATGAAAGCACAAATGAAAGGAATAAGACAATTGTACCAATTATATCTGCAGTCGATAGATGGCCTGGTAACTTTCAACATGTTCCTAGTTATTAAGGGCTATACTATATACCGGAAAACACTGAAAAACACCTGAAAACAACCGGAAAACTACCGGAAAACATCGGAATATTACCAGAAAAGACCATGTTATACTGAATACTCTTTAGTAGTTCCATTTAACGCAACAACAGCAAGTGCATCCAAAATCATCAGAAAACACTGTACTGGTCTCCAAGAAAATCATCCGAAAATCTTCACACAGAAACTTATAATTGCATATTCTAAAAATAAAAATCTGAACGACATCCTATTGCACAGTAAATTAGATTAAATAAGACCAGTCACCACCCTAACCCAAAGCAAACCATATATTAAGTTCTATCCCTAACCGTTAGTAAATAAAATCAACTAGATAAAAGAATCCCTAGCCCTAACCCAGTGATGTGGAACAAACACGATTTTTTAGAAAGTCTAATCCGTAGTAAGAAACACACTAATGTGACTCTCACCCGAGAGCCTTAAATTTATTCTTTTTTCTTCAGAAACAAAAATACCAGAATACCAGAAGCACCATCCAAGGAAGACCACCAGTGCCACCAACACCAAAAAAACAGTGAAATCGCTTATGTATACAAATCTAATGTATTGTATGTATTTTTAATAAAGCTAGGAAATATCACGAACTAATTTTTCATCATCCTAGGTCAGTGCTTATGCGGAGACTTAACCTCTCCCCCAAATTCTTAAACCTGTTTTCCGGTATTTAGTGTTTTTCCGGTGTTTTCCGGTACTCAGTATAACATGGTGTTTTCCGGTTGTTTTCCGGTGTTTCCTGTGTTTTTCGGTGTTTTCCGGTATATAGTATAGCCCTATTGTCGGTTATTAATACAGGGGGACCAAACCACATACAAACAATTACACAAGACAAACCTACGGACAGGACACAATACACTCCTGAAACAACAGATTAAGTTAATGGATCTGGGGCTAGTCGTAAGCGTCCATTGCGCTGTACAGTCATGACGACGTCATGCGTTTTCCATCTACTGGTCGGTTGAAATGGATTGATTGGCCCCTAAAAACTAGGTGTAGACACCAAAATTGCCCACTTACCTCAATAGCAGAGGCGTTATGATTCGACTGTACTATATACCGAAAAAATTCTAAAACATTCGAAAAATTAAGAAAAAATCCGAAAAAATTCAAGAATAACGAAAAAATCCAAAAAGATTCGAAAAATTAAGAAAAAATCCGAAAAATGAAGAAAAACCGTTTTTGAGACAAATTACCGAAAAATCCGAAAAACCCTCAATACCAAAAAATCCATAAATACCGAAAAAAAAAACCCCAACATTAATTCCCGAAAAAAACCTAGACCAGGTCAGGTTAAGCCAGGTATAAAAAATTGTGGGGACTCGATCTAGGTAAAGTATGAAAATGGTGGACAATGGGTCTAGGTGGGTAATGGGTCACGCTAGGCCATATATAAACATACTGGGACACTCTAGGTTGGCCATGGATCACAATAGGTGCCGCATAATACTTGTGGAACACTGTAGGTGGGTCATGGGCCAGGATAGGCCAAGTATAAAAAATTGGGGAATTCTAGGTGGGCCATGGGTAGTTATAAAACATATCAATGCAGGTTATAAGTATTCAACTGACCGTCGATATGCCACGCTTGAAAGTAACAAAACAAAGGAGAGGAAAGTCGGAGCAACCTAAAAGTTCATCAAATAAGTTTCAGTCTCATCCTAGTAAAAGACCATGCCCTACACGCAGAACAAACTGTACAAGGGATCACTGCATTCCATGTAATACATGCAAACGTTGGTTTGATTTGAATTGGCCTTTGTGCACTGGATTTTATGCAATCAGCTTATACCTCAAATTTTCTGAATTTGCCTGGAAGCGAGGAATTCTTCACTGATGGCCTTTTGTTCCATAGTCCACCACCGATGGTCCACCAGTAAAGGTCCGTGTGTCGTGGTCCGCCACTGATGTTCTGTGTGGACCAGTGTCTATCAGTCCATCACTAGTCCACCAATGAATATCTATTGTGTGATAGTCCACCACTGATGGTATGTGTGTCCCAGTGCACAACAGGCGGTCCCAGTCCACCACAGATGTTATGAGTGTCTCAGTCCACCGGAGATGTTATGTGTGTCCCACTCCACCACTGCTGGAGTGTAGCCTAGTCCACCAATGATGGTCTGCGTGTCCCAGTCCACAACTGATGGTCTGTGTGTGGCCCTGTCCACCAATGACGGTCCACTACTGATGGTGTATTGTGTGGACCAGTCCACCGCTTATGGTCTGTGGCCCAGTCTACTACTGAAGGTATGTGACCAAGTCCAATACTGAAGGTATGCGTGTCCCAGTCTACCACTGATGGTTTGTGGCCCAGCTACTGATGGTATAATGACCCAGTCAACTACTGATGGTATATGACCCAGTCCACCACAAACTGTGGCCTATTCCACTGATGGTATGTGGCTCAACCCACCACTGAGTGTATGTGGTCCAATCCACAACGGATGGCCTGTCGGGACCAGTCCACCAATGATGGCCTGTGTGGACAAGGGGTGGATTGCTTATTGTGCCACAGCCAACAACGAATTGTCTATTGTGTACCAGTCCACCAATGATGGTATGTGTTGCCCAGTCCACAATTGGTGGTCTTTGTGTCCAAATCCACCAATGATGGTAGGTGGCCCAGTTCACCAATGATGATCTGTAGCCCAGTTCACCAATGATGGTCTGTGGTCCTCTACCGATGGTATGTGTCCCCATCCACCGCTGATGGCAAGTGTGCACTAGTAAACAACTGATGGTATGTGGCCCATTCCACCACTGGTGGCCTGTGCGTCCCAATCCGCCACTGATGATCTGTGAGGACCAGTTCACCTTTGATTGTTTATTATGTCATTGTCCACTACTGATGGTCTATGTGTCCCAGTCAACCACTGATGGTCATTTCATTACAGTCCACAACTGATGGTCTGTGTTCCAGTCCACGACATGCTGGTCTGTGTCCCAGTCCGCCACTGGTCGTCTGTTCACCTTTGATTGTTTATTATGTCATAGTCCACTAATGATGGCCTGTGTGTCCCAGTCAACCACTTATGGTCTTTTCATTCCAGCCCACAACTGATGGCCTGTGGTCTAGTCCACCAATGATAGTCTGTGGTCCAGTCTGTGTGTCCCAGTCCGCCACTGGTCATCTGTGGCCCATTTCATCACTGATGTTTTGTGGCAACGTCCACAACTGAAGGTCTGTGTGTCCCAGCCCGCCCCTGATTGTCTGTGACCCAGTCTTTGTGGCCAAATGGGCCACTGGTGGTCTGTGTGGACCAGTCCACCTTTGATTGTCTATTATGTCATAGTCCCAGTCCGCCCCTGATTGTCTGTGACCCAGTTTTTGTGGCCAAATGGGCCACTGGTGGTCTGTGTGGACCAGTCCACCTTTGATTGTCTATTATGTCATAGTCCCAGCCCGCCCCTGATTGTCTGTGACCCAGTCTTTGTGGCCAAATGGGCCACTGGTGGTCTGTGTGGACCAGTCCACCTTTGATTGTCTATTATGTCATAGTCAATTACTGATGGT